GTGCCTGGGAAACTGGAATCTCTAAGGCGAAAGAGAGACAAAGATACATCAGACAAAGTAACAGAGAATGTGCAGAGGTTGGTGCTTGTCTCGTTGGCAGATGTGACCACTTCATAGCCAGGTGGGGAGTAATAAATAGATAGAGTCGAAGGGGAGAGAATATAGCAGCTAGCAAAGTAGGGGTTTAGGGATTCCACGATGTCAGCAGGGTCAGAGAGAGGTTTCCCGCCGGCGGCCACAATGTTTGAAACTGCAGATGAATTTGAGAAGCAACGACGGCGAAAGAGGCGCCCCAGCATCTTAGGCTGTAGAAAATGGGCTACGGCGATCGATTCCCCACACTTTTCAAGGGCGAGTTTGGCCGTGGTAATATCGGTCATAAGTTTGTTGATTACAATGAGGAGGGAGAGGTCATCGGATTCAAGGAAGAGCCTAAGATACTTCCTAAGCTTATGGCGGGTAGCGGGTATTCGTGTGGCTGGATGACAACCAGAAGCATGGGAAGCTCTTGTGGGAGCAACTAGATATAATGATGATAGCAAGTTGTCGTGAAAGATGTTAGCCACGTTTTGCGTGTCACCAGAGACAAAGAACTCGTCCCAGGACTTATGGCGCAGTGAGATTGCAAAGGCTTCAAGAATGCCCGGGGAAAGGATGAAACAGGTTAAGGGAGGAAGAGTAACTGAAGGTAGAGTACTTGTCCAGCTGCAAGTTACAATACAATGGTCGCTGTCAGGAAGCTTCGGACCAACTGCAGCAGTAGGACGCAGATAGCTGTTGACAAGGGCAATGTCCAGGGTGTAGGTACCGCGTGTTGGTTGCCTTACAAACTGGGACCAGCCTTCGACATTAAGTCGGTTAAGCAGGGGCGAAAGGCGCAAAGGGGAGTTTTGTTGAGACCGGGCAATCTCAGGAAGGTTGAGATCCCCAACAATTAGTTTGTTCGGATGAGGTAGAGCTTGAGTGTGAGAAAGAAGCATAGAGAGACGATTAATCGAGCTAATGGAGTGTGGAGGGGGCATGTACCCGAGGATGAACGGCGGATTACCCCGACAGGCAGAAAGCCAAACAGATTCTGGAGTGTCAGCCAGTAGTGGATCGTCAATGGTGGAGACTTCCATATCAGTTCTGGCGTATATGAGGCAGCCACCACGGCGGTGGGAACGATCAGAACGGAAGTTAGTGTATCCCGGAAGGGATAAGGGCATCCGGTGTGTTAAGAGAGAGCCATGTCTCTGTGATGCAAATGAAGGTTGGACGAGCTATAGTAGGGCTAGCTTGGATGTAGTGCAATTTAGATAAGAGAGCGGATGTTGATTAGAACGACAGAAAGATTGCTAGCGGGATCGGGGTAGGTGGGTAATATGGCTAGCAAGAAGTTGACAAGCCCAGGGAGATCAGTATGGAATGGAGTAGAGACAGGGGAATCGGGGGTCTCCGAATTAGTAGGCGAAGTATGACCAGGTAAAGATACGTGAGAATAAGATGATGGGGCGTACCGAGATGGGTACCGAGAGAGCGTTTGGATGGCGGGGCAGGTAGCGGAGCTCCATGGACAAAGAGTAACAGGCTGGGTCGAGTAATTGTTTGTAATAATGTAATGTAGTAATGTAATAATAATCGACATAGTCAGGAGGTGGTACCTTGTGTGGTAGCTTAACAGAAACAGCGGGATTTAGGTCACACGTGATGGAAGGGCAGGCAGCACTGAACGCCGCTAGTACAGCTCCTTTCACATTTTGCCACGCTTCATCCAAATG